TCATCTTTTAGGATTTGAAATCGCTCAACTGGAATTCCATCCCCGCTGCTAACTTTGTTCATAGTGATGCTTCCTAAGGCCCACTTGATTTCACACTCCAGAATGTCTGGCTTGAGGTGAGTGATCACACCATCATAGTTATCTGGGTCATAAAGATCTTTTTTATATAGTTCTTCTGTGTGTTCCTGCCACCTCTTCTTAATATCTTCTGCTTCTGTTAGGTCCATACCATTTCTGTCCTTTATTGAGCCCCTCTTTGCATGAAGAGGGCTTCCCTTGTGGCTCAGCTGGTAAAGAATCTGCCTGCAATGTAGGAGACCTAGGTTCTATCCCTGGGTTGGGAAGATCCCTTGAAGAAGGGAGGGCTACCCACTCCAGTATTTTGGCCTGGAGAATTCCATGGACTATATAGTCCACAGGGTTGCACAGGTCTCTGCCTCACCGTGATTGTATAGTGGTTAGTACCCTGAGTTGTGGCCGCAGCAACCTCAGTTCGAATCCGAGTCACGGCATTGCAGCAACAATGGCATGGCAAGGGGCCTCTGTTTTCAAATTCCTTTTGGGGCTTCCCTGGTGGCTCAAAAGGTAAAGCTTCTGCCTGCAATGCAGGAGTCTTGGGTTAGATCCCTGGGTCAGGAAGATCCTCTGGAGAAAGAAATGGCAACCCACTCCAGTACTCTTGCCTGGAAAATCCCATGGATGGAGAAGCGTGGTAAGTTACAGTCCATGGGGTCGAAAAGAGTCAGACATGACTGAGCAACTCCACTTTTCAAAGTAAAAGCAAATAAATACACAGTAACAACATTGAAGCAAAACTGAGATCATTTTAACACCTGTTGNAGTCTTGTTTTTGCTGACTGTATTGAGATTCTCCATCTTTGGCTGCAAAGAATATAATCAGTCTGGTCTTGGTATTGACCTTTTGGTGATGTCCGTGTATAGAGTCTTCTCTTGTGTTATTGGGAGAGGGTGTTTGCTATGACCAGTGCATTCTTATGGCAGAACTCTATTAGCCTTGCCCTGCTTCATTCTGTACCCCAAGGCCAAATTTGCCTGTAACTCCAGGTATCTCTTGACTTCCTACTTTTACATTCCAATCCCCTATAATGAAAGGAACATCTTTTTTGTGTGTAAGTTCTAGAAGGTCTTGTAGGTCTTCATAGAACCATTCAACTTTGGCTTCTTCAGCATTATTGGTTGGGGCATAGACTTGGATTACTGTGATATTGAATAGTTTGCCTTAGAAACGAATGGAGATCATTCTGTTGTTTCTGAGATTGCATCCAAGTACTGCATAAGGAACTCATTTGTTGACTGTGAGGGTTACTCCATTTCTTCTAAGGGATTCTTGCCCACAGTAGTAGATGTAATAGTCTTCTGAGTTAAATTCGCTCTTTCCAGTTTTTTAGTTCACTAATTCCTAAAATGTTAATGTTCACTGATAAGTAATAACTGACATTTATATACCCTACACTATGTGCTAGGCACTGCTCTGAACATATCACCAATATGTTAACTCATTTCATCCTCTTAGAAAAGAGTTAGGTACTATTACTGTTCCTGTCTTACAGATAGAGAACCTAAAGGCTAGGAAAGGCAAGCAGCTTCACCCAAGTTCACAGAGTGACTAACTGACAGAGCCAGAATTTGAACCCAAGTAGTCTGGCTCCAGAGTCCATGATCTTACAATTAATATCTCTTATATAAGAATCTTTCCTATTTTTTAAAGTGCAAACATGATTTTTAAAAAATATATTAGTCTAATTCCATTTTTGTAAAATTTTATTTATCCATTCATCATGTCTGGACTAATGTTTTACCAGATATGATCTCTGAGAAATAATATCTGGTGAAATTTTGGATAAGTTTGTGACTTCTTCTTTGTGTTTTGTATTTAAATACTAAGCATCACAATGCCTAGTGCTGCAGGTGCCATGGTCTGCAAGAATGGCTTCTAAACTGTGCCAAGCCACCTGTGCCAAGTGGCTGGCAAGGCTCTCAGAGGAGATTAGCCAACTGGGGAGTCATCACCCTCTCTCTGACTCTTCAGTTGGGTAATTGGTTTTATCCACTGAAGCCATCTGATCATGTCAGTGAAGTACATGGTTAAATACCTGAACCTTAAAACTCAGCGGAGAGGAAAGTGCTCTGTAAACAGATTTGTTCCTGTGCTGTATTCTTCCTGACTTCCTCAGGGCACTTTCTACAAAACCAGGAGGTGGCTTTCATGCCGATTAAATGTGGGGGTTAAGGGATTTCTAAAAAAGTGAACTCAGGGCCAGGCTTTCTTTGGGAAGGTGTTTCTATGGCCTTGGTATCAAGGAACACATGGGGATTTGAATCAGAGAAGAGAACAAACACAATCTCCCGAACAAACTCTGTACAGCTCTGGAGTGTCATTTTAAGTTGAATAGAAAACAGCGGAAAGTGAATAACACTGTGCGAAGTGTTAGAATTGCAGACATTAGAAAAGAAATTAAATTACCTAATCCATTCCTTTCTGGGTCGCCGTCTATGGGACCCCTCCCCCAGTCCTTTAGAAAGCCTTTTTAAAAATTTTCTTAAGCAAAGAACATTTCCCACTTATCTAGGAAGACCATTTTGCAATCTAATTTATTTTCAGTTTTTATATTATTTTCAGAATATTTTATAATAGCTATTCATTGCAGACTTTCCTTTCACAACTCCTCAATCCTTAGAACCTCACAACGTTTATCAAAATCTCTTCTTTCAAATCATTTTTCTCCAAATTTTCCTTGCTTTCATTTTCAACTATTGAAAAATATGAGTGTGCATAGAGATTGAGATAGAGATGGATATATATAGATATTGCCATCAGTATGTCAGCTGTTTATGTAAACTGTGGATGCATAGTTATGGATAAAGAGTGTGTGTGTATATATATATTTACATATATGTGTGTATGTATGTGTTTCTTGCTATTGTGTATGTGTGTGTATATGTATGTATGTGCACATAAATATATGTAAATAACTTTGGTTGTCCTATTTCATATATCAGGTTGGAAATGCATAGTGTAGAGGTTGATAATTCCCCATTATCTGTTTTGTAGCCTGTTAAACTGGAGGTCGGTGAAGTAAAAGACCTGTTGGTCAGATTTGACCCTTCCTACAAAAATGATCTGAACAACTGGGTGGCCGAAGAAGTTTTAGCCATCAAGTATGTGGAGCACCCTCAAGTGGACACCGTGCACCTGCGTGGAGAAGTGAATTACCCCAACCTCACCTTTGAGACCATGGAGCTGGATTTTGGCTGTATCCTGAATGACACCGAGGTGATCCGCTACATCATGATCACCAACTGCAGCCCCCTGGTTGTGAAGTTTCGCTGGTTCTTCCTGGTGGACGATGAGGAAAATCAGATAAGGTACCAACCAGCAGGGTGATCCTGCAGAGCTCTCCTGTGCTTTCATTTTTTTAAAATCTCCTTTGGACTTTGCACTGAGTTTCCTGTATTCTGAGTCCTGGTCTTCCATGAATATTTTCCTTTTTTACCTTTTATTTGTTTATTTCTGGCTTTGCTGGGTTTCCTTTGCTACATGCGAGCTTTCTCTAGTTGCAACAAGCAGGGGCTACTCTTCAGTGGCGATGCCTGGGTTTCCCATTGTGGTGGCTTCTCTTGTTGCAGAGCACAGGCTCTAGGGTGTGTGGTCCTTCAGTTGTTGCAGCTCTTGGGCTCTAGAGCACAGGCTTCCGTAGTTGTGGTTTATGAGCTTAGTTGTTCCATGACATGTGGAATCTTCCCAAACCAGGATTGAACCAGTGTTGCCTGCATTGGCTGGTGGATTCTTAACTGCTGGACCACCAGGGAAGCCCTCAATAATACTCTCAGTTGGGATAAAGTTCCACAACTAATCACTGACTGAGGAACAAAGAGCCATGATCCACCCTAGGTTTCACAGGAAAAGCAGATAAAGCGCCAATTGCCACTAGATGAACAAAGTGATATACCTAAGCCTGCTCTAATTTTGAATCTAGTGGTTGGATCTTTAGAGATTTATCACTAAAAATAGAGTTCTCTGAACTCTACCTTCTGCATATTTCAGTGGGTTTTGTTCTGGCCCGTAACTGTACCTTATGTGTATAGACATATACTCATGTGCGGGAGTGTGTGAGGGAGATGGCGAGCACTGAAAGGGAAAAGGGGTCTTCACAACATTTAGGTTTAGAAGTGTCTCTCCTGTTCAATTAGAAGCTAAATCCAACTTCATTTGAAAAACACTCCTTTACAGAATCGGAAACAGCCTATTTCAGTCAGGCCTTAACAGTTTCATCTGGATCAAAAGCCACATTGGTGGCCAGGATGAACAGGCTTCTGCGTATTTCCTTGTTGGGTGTTTGGACAGCTCGGTTTTCAACACCTGAATATAAATGACCATTCTTAACTGGGAATATCTCATGTTGTTTCTTGGCTAGTCGATGCTTCCTATACACAGTCCTCATCTTGTGTATGACAGCCATCCTTTCCTTTACCGTGCCTGTTTCCATGGTAACTATGGCTTGCTCTGGATGTCTTCCATAAACATTTGATGATAACCCAGTGTAGCACTGAAGCTGGTTCAGGGCCTGAGTGAGGGAGCCTACTCATTTAGGTGCCAATGACTGACTGTTCAGGTTTGGGATGAAATTTCGTAGATGGTAAATGTTTAAAACAATTATGGAAAAATCAGTCAACCTGACCTAATGAGTTTCGAATACCAGATTGTATGAAGTTATTCTGATGTAACACAGCTAAATGAATTTATTCCATCTGGGAGCAGGGGACATGCTTTATTTATTTTTTTGTTTTCGAGAAGCCATTTCCATAATTTAAAATAATGACATTTTGAAAATGTACTTGGCCAGTACTGGAGGTGATGCACTTAATTTTTCATTGGCTTAAGCACTCATTTGACCTTTATTTCCCTTTCTTCTTTGTCTTCTAATATCTTGATATTGAGCCTCTTGCTTATATTTCATTTGTTCATTCAGAGAGTCTCTCAGAAACCATTTGATAAGTGACTCTTATACACCAAATACTTTGTGAGGCATCAGAGATACAGAAGTAAGACATGATCCCTGGACTGAGGCTGTTGGGGAAGCAGGTGTGTAAACCACGGTGGGCGGATAGTTCCAGGCTATGTGAGAGGCCACGGGGATGAATGCTCACAGGAGTCAGAGAAGACTGCACTGAGAAGCACAGGTAAATGCTCTAGTCAGAGAAGCAGGGAAACCTTCTCAGTTACAGAAATAGCACGTATAGAAGTTAGGATTCATGGATCCTGTCGCAAGTGACAAGGAACCTGGCTCTTATGTAAAAACGAAAAACAGAGTTCATTCACTGGTTCCCAGAGCTCAAAATTCCAAGTTCATTTTGGCTTCAGGCCTGGCTTACAGGAAAGACTGAAAGCATGTCCCTGGTGCCAGCCTCCCTGTCTCAGCTCTGCTCTCCTTCACATGTTAGCCATGTTCTCAGTGCTGCCAGCACTCCCGGGGCCATGTCTGTGCGACTGTGAGCCACTGGAAAGGAAGATGAGCCTTGGTCCCAGAACTTCCAGGAAATTCACTCTGATGGGACCATCTTAAATCACCTCTCCTGTCCCCTTCCCCTCCCCAGTCCCTATCAGGAGAGGGTGAAACACTTGATTAGTGTTGACCTGGTTGCGTGCCCCATGCCAAGGGCTGCCCTGGTGACTCAGAACCACATGGACTGAAAGGGTGGGAGTGGGGCACACCTCCAGACAAAAGCTGCAATACGGGGGGAGGAATGCGGGGAAAGCAGATGGTACACACTTGTCAGTATCCACAGGGGCCACACGCAGCACAGACTTCATCGGTAGGGGGCAGCTGGGGAGAGGAGTCTGGGCTTGTAGACTGGCGGAAGCACGTGAGAGGCCTGGGATTCCATGATAAGGACCTTAGACTCTTTCTTGGAGGCACTGGTGAGATTTGTAATCAGGAGAGTGACAGAGACAGGTTTTCTTGGAAAAATAACCCTTAGCAGCATTCAGCACAGTTGTCCAACCCTTCCTTCGTGAAACACAATTCCTTTCATATCTTAATAGCACCATACTCTCCTGCCTTTCCTCTTGTCCCCTCAACTGACTACTCTGCAGCTCTTGGCCAGCAACAGCTGGAGTTATGGGGGCACAGGCCTCCCTCCTAGGCCCTCTGCTCCTCCTGGAGTCGCACCACCCACAGCTTCACTTAGCGCCCTGTGGCAGAGGCTTCTGAATGTGCATCTCTTCCTAGAACCCTTGGAGTTGCCAGTCTGCCTTCTTGACTTCTCCTCTTGGCTGTTTCACAGGTGACTAATGTCCCGTGTGCCCCACCCCAAGCTCAGGTCCCACCCCCTCCCTGCTTCTCCCCCAGGGCCCCTGTTCCAGTAAATGACCCCACTGTCCTCCTGGGAGGCATCCAGATTTCCTCCTCTTTCTTATCCCACGTACCGCATCAAATCCATCACCAAATCCTACCTACTCTACACTAATTAAAGGTACCCTTGCCTCCTGCCTGGACCATTGCGACAGCCTCTGACGGGGCTCTCTGTCTCCACTCCTGGGCCACAGTCTATCAGCCCCTCCACAGCCAAGTGATGAGCGCGTCACTGCCATGGTTTTCAGCCTCTGAGGACACCCATGCTTCTTCAGATAAAGTACAAAATACTCGCTGTATTCTTCCAGGCTCAACATGTACCACCCCTGCATTCCTCTCCAAGTTTTCCGCACTTTGCTGTCCGCTGCCACCTTGACATCTTTCTGTTTGCTCGCATGCCAGCCTCTTTCCTCCCCAGTGCTGTTGTTGCCTCATGCCTTCTCTCTGCTGGAAGCTCTACCTGCTCCTCACCTAGCTAGGCTTGCTCCCTCATCAAGTCTCAGCTTAAACTTCCTTCCCTGAGAAGCCCTCTCTAAGACCCTTCCCTACTGGAGGTCCCCTGTCATAGGCACCGGTAGCCCGTCTCCTCCATGACTCATCACATTTGAACTCCAGCTAATGTTCAGCTCCCCTGCTGGCTCTTAATCCCTGTGAGACTAGGGAGCACATCTGATCTGTGGCCTCTTTATCCCTGGGCCCAGCACAGTCCATAGCACAGAATGAGTCCTCAAAGCATATTTTGTAATTAATCAACTTCTCTCCCTGCCCCTGGTGTCTGTAGTGAGACGAGAGTCATTTCATAACTGGTTTAACATTCTCTTCTGTCAGCTTCCTGGCACCTGCCAAATGGAAAGGTTCAAGGCATAAATGTCACCTTGCATAGAAAAAAATGCCACTTGCTGTCCAGACAGACTCTGTCTGTACAGCCCGTCAGAAAAACATGAAGCACTCATTGACTAAAGGTCACTTTTATCAGATATACCAACACGAACCTTTCTTTGCCAATCAGAATTCCTCTAACCCTCACAACTAATAAAAGAAACAAAAGCATAAAAGAAGATTTTCTTTTTTATTAGACAGGATATGAGGAGACCTCAACACTGTCAATATTCCTGCCTATCACAGCACACATATATCACACCCAAGGGAGTGTGTGTGTGTGTGTGTACATGTGTGCAGGCACATGTCTGTGCACTTGGGAGTTTGTGTATATGTGTGAGATTTTGTAGGCAATTCTGACTCAGACATTCAAAGCATCTCTCTTGTTTGAACATAATTTTTGTTCCAAAAATGTTTCCATCTCATGTCACACCTAAGAACAAAGAAGTGAAGTGGGCAAGTGTGTTTGGTAAGCACTCTGTAAGCATGCCATTGTCTGAAACCCACTCATCTATGTGCCGTCCCTGTGCATGACAGGGTTCTAGACTGACTCTGGTAGATGACAGTCCAGTTGCTCACGTGTAGTAAGGAAGCTGGGGTGGCGTATCAGGGCTGGGCATGGCTGCCGGCCTCACCAGCGCTATAGGAATGTACACTTTCTTTGGCCTGACTGCTCAACCGGATGATGTTTCATGGCATCCATGTAGAAGGAGAGCAAAGGAGCACCCATACTCAAACCAGGCTTTGCTCTGAAGAGACCGGAGAGAGCCAAGCAGATGGTGGCTCAGCTGGCATCTGTGCCCAGACTAAGAGCTGCAGGCTGACGCAATCTTAGAACTTCGAGCATGTGGGCCACATGGTCCCCAAGGACAACTTTGTCTTTTCATTTCCAAATCAGATTATAAATAAATCAGATACAAGAGCCTAAGGGAGCCCAGCCTGACAGCAAAAAAACATGTGTTGTTCTCACACCGATTTTTCTGTGGTGAGCGTCATTTATCCAATATTGTGATGGAAAGAGGAGAGTGGAAGGGCTGGAAGTGCAATAGAGGGACTCTCATTGCCTGGAGGCTTCTGTCTGTTTCTTCATCACCCCTCACTTTCTCTTGCCTTGAAAGTGGAACTTTTTAGAGA